TAGAACATTATGTACATACACTTCTTCGTACAAAACCACTTTGCACATATAGTCATTGTCAAATCTCATGGAATCATGTAACGTCACAACCCACCTGGATTGAAATGTCACAAGATCAACTGTACTTTAGCCATAAATTAATTAACTATATTTTTAGTGGAAAGTATAAAGATTAAATTTTAGAATTTAATTCAATAAATTTTTTTTGTTTAAAATAATTCAATACTAAAAGATAAAAATTTCAAAAATGTTTTTGGAATGAGTTTCATGTATGTAACGACTATTGACGTGAAATTTTTGACAAAACTTTAAAATTAATATTGCTATTTTAGTTTTTATCTCAAATGGTAATTGTCAAAATAAATTCGTTTAAATAGCTATCAATCTCGAAATTTCATGAAATTTTTATTTAAAGTATAAAACTTCTTATAATATTACATATCCAAAAATTGGCTCCCGTCAATAGCATATAGGGTACTAAAATATTTTTCAAAACCCCGCAGCGACTCGGGCTGGAAAGTAACCCAGTGCAACTTACCTTAAGTGTTATATAAAATTCTACACGCATCGAATCCACATGATTTCAACTATACTCAGTAGCTAACCCCTGAAACTATCAAACCCAATTGGTATCATCCAAAAATTTCAAGGAACGTGTGAGTTATGAATTTTTGAAACCAAGGGCAGAAGCTGAAGAACGGCGACACTACTCAGTGCAGTTTACTTTATACGACATATAAAATTCTACCGACATTGATTGATACGATTCCAAGTTCATTCAGTAGCTAACTTATGAGGCTATCCAAAGCCCCTGGCTTTCCATTTATTTATCAACTATTCATTTTATTTATTATAATTTAAAACAATTTTGATACATTATAGAAATTGTAAATTGACCAGATTGATCGTGGAAATTTTGTGCACTCTTTCTTATAACTTATGTATCTATCTTTAACTTAGAAGTTTCACAGGCATACTACATATCGAGATAGAAAATCTCAAATTAAAACGCATATATCCTAATATTTCAGATGACAAATTTTACTTCCATAATACAATCAAGTGAAGATTTATTCTTACAAATAAGAGTTCATGAAAAAAAAAAAAAAATTTATACAAAGATGAGTAGAATTACTGTTTCGGAATCAAAACAACAAAATCTATTCTGAAATGCTTTCCCAATAACAATATTTTTCAACTAAGCGTAGCAGCACGATTTATTTGGCTCCGATGCGAAAAAGTAGGGTCTGTGATTTACTGGTTTTAATGAACATGAGAGAAAAAGTGATGTGTTGAAAGGTAAAATGTTGCATAATTGAAGTGGTTGGGAAGAGCATCGATTAATAATTCGTGTGTATTATATTTCCACTCATCAATCAAATTGCTTTTTAAAAACATTAACTACTCTAATTTCACGTTTTCCAATTTTGCAAGAGACGTAAAATTAATAAACAAACTTCAGATTCATTTGGCATCACTTTTGCTTCTATTTTTACATAATAATGTCGAAAAGCTATTGAGAGAAACTGTCTTAATTTTTGTATGAAAATTAATTTTTGAAAACACTTTTTATTTCAGAAGTATTTTTAGAGAAGGTCACATTGGACCAACTTCTTCTAAAAACTTTTCTAACTATCAAAAACACTTTGATTATTTAACCCGTACATGTATTTCAATGCTTTTGCGCCAACTAATCAGGAAGATGATCCCATTAACTATGGGACATTTTCATATTAGTCAAACAGGTCCAAAAGTATCTTTTGAATCTTAAAAGTTCATTTTGACTTTTTAAAAACCGTACCAAACTGCCTCATCATGTCATATATATATATATATACATACACATATACATATATATATACACACACACACACATATATATATATATATATATATATATATCGTTGCGATAAATCATGCTTGTATATAGCATTAGTGTGTGTTTGAGCCACGTTATTTTGAAAGAACGTATTTTGAAATAGTAGATTGATGGAAAATGTGTCGTTAAAAAATGAGGAAAAATTTTGAATTTACGTTTAATATTATTTTATTGATGAATGTGTGGTTAAAATGATGTTAAATTACTATTTAAAAAAATATATTTTTTAAAAAGAGTATGGTTCAAACAGGACCTTATTTTGACATAGTAAACTAGGCTTAAAAAGCAATTACAATAAAAAAAAACTCTTTAAGCCCCTGTTTGTTCCATATTTTTTGTCCATTTAAAAGATCATTTGCTCATTGCACAGAGCAGTCCAATTTCAATTAATTAACAACCGTGCTACAGAGTTCGGATTTAAATTCCGGGCTCCAATCCTGGGCAGAGGTGAAAACACTTGAACCGTTGATCTTCAGCACTTGGAGGACCCGCCATCAAAATCGGCAGCAGAGGCTCTGTCACCTTTGCCCCTGGAATTCTTCAGCATTTTCCATTAATTAAAGGCTCTGACATAAAAGGACGTTTACATTTGAATTTTGAAGAATCTACTTTATGTTTTTCCCTTTTTACCCCATGCCTCTCCAAGCGCTCATTATTGTGACATTGTCTCTTTAATTTTCTCACTCCAACCGGTCCAACACCCATTTCCACCAACTCAATTGGGCCCTACTCCATTATTTGCAAGCTACCCGTTCACTTCTACTGCCCAACTACACGGGTAATGTATATATATTTTCACACCATTTAGCCAATCCGGAGTGCTATCCATACAACTAAGCACACGTTGTTGTTGTTATTATTATTATTATGTTTTTAAACGATTGATACACTTGTTACTACATCTACATGAAAAGAACAACAGTGCGACGAAAGCAAATTTTCGAATTGTAAGATTTTTCTTTTGGCAGTGTAAAACTAGAGTAACGATTTCTTTACTAAAACATAAAATCCTTTTTGTAATTGATCACGACTTTATCGACACTACGGGTTACATGAAAAGAACAACAAATTGCCTCTCATGCACTTAAAGGTGATTGCACAGTAGACATGATAATCTAACCAGTACATTTTTTTTTTCCAATGTTGTTGTGCCATATAAACGAGAAGACGATCCCACTCACAGCACGACATTTCCATATTAGTCGAACGGGTCGAAACAAAGTTTTTGAATCTTAAAAGTTTATTTTGAATTTTTAAAAATCATGCCAAACAAGCCCTTCATATCATATATAGATCCAAAAATTGCCGCAATAAATCATGCTTGTATACAACTTTATTTAGACATAATTCAGTGGTGCAAAGAACATGAGTGAAGTAGTCTCAGCCTTGTTAATAGCTACAGTGTGAGAGTTCGATTTCTGAGATATGGAATTGGACTCTTTGTGGGCACCAGTGTACTGTCAAGCTCTTGTTTCCTGACCTGTTAGAACATATCCCGTGATTTACTTTCCTCACAATACTCCAGGAGAGGGGCAGTGAAAGCCTTCAAAATTGGGGTTCAACCATTTTTAGCTTTATTTAGATTGGTAAATTAGACTTAATAGAAACTACAATTAAAAAATCTTAAGCGCCTGTTTGTTCCATAATTTTTGTCCATTTTTAAAGATTATTTGCCTGTTGGACAGAGCATTCCACTTTCAATTGATTGAAGATTCCGACGACAAAGGACAGTTACATGTAAACTGTTTTTCCTTTTATTCCCATGTCTTCCACAACTTATTATTGTCTCTTTAGCCCCCCCTCCTGAGGCATAGTTCAGTGGTGCAAAGGACAGGAGTGTGGTTATTTCACACCTTGCTGATAGCCATAGTGTGGGAATTCGATCTCTAAGACAAGGAATTTGACTCATTGTAGACGCAGTGTACGGACAACTCTTGTTCCCTAGTCTGTTTGAATACATCCCACGATTTACTTCTCTCACAAAACTCTAGACGCGGGGACGGTGAGGACCATTAAGGTTGAGGTTCAACCTTTTTTCTTTTTATTTTTTATTGTCTCTTTAATTTTCCCACACCAACCGGTCGAACACCCATTTTCACCAACTCAATTGGGCCCCACTCCATTATTTGCAAGCTACCCGTTTACTTCTAGTCTCCAAGTGTAATGAATATACATTTTCATCATTTTGCAAATCCAGAGTGCTATCCATACACCTAAGTACACATCATTATTTTTTCTTTTAATTATTGATACACTAGTTACTACATGAAAAGAACAACAGTGTGACGGGAGCAAATGTTTTTGTTACAACTTGAAAAATCATTTTCGGATTGTAAGATTTTTCTTGTAGTACAAAACTCGAGTTGCGATTTCTTTATCAAAACATAAAACCAACTTAGTAATTGATCATGACATTGTCGACGCTACGAGTTACATGAAAGGACCATCAAATTACATCTCATCCACTTAAAGGTTATTGCACAATAACATGATAATTTAACCAGTACATTTTTTTTTTCATTCAATGCTGCTACGCCATATAATCGAGATGATGATCCCACTCGCTACGCAGCATTTCCAACATTGATTTCGACACCGATCTCTTTATCGTCGTTTTGTTAGTTCCACCTCAACAACGCTTGGATCAATCTCCACCCTTGTGAAAAAACCCCGTCTACAACCCCAGTCCATTGAAGGAAGTTTTGTACACTCATTGTTGCAATGACAACTGCAATTTGTGTTGGAAACAAATAGTTTGGCTTATAGTATGGTATTTTCGATCTTTATTTTCATACACCGAATGCGCGTTCGATTTCATTTCTTCACAATGAATGCTTGTAATTGAACCTCTTGCGAGCATTTCGAAATCTCCTTACATAACTTGTCACCTTGTTCCAGAACTGCTGAAAATGATACAATATATCTGAGCCTTTTGTACGATACAATATATTCAGGTTGATGTGCAAATCTAGAGTTGAATAAATAGTACTTCCCCGAAGCCGGTAAGGGAAAATGCACCTCCGGGCTATGAATCGCATGTGACAAAATGTGTGTGTCATGTATATTTTCAAAACATGAAGCATAAACTAAAATTGCAGGCAACAATTATGTATATACACTTTTTTGTACTAAACCACTTCGCACATATAGCCATCGTCAAATCTCATGGAATCATTTTTCCAACGAAACGTCTGTCGATACAATTCGTGAGGAATATTTAATATTTATTATTGTTGTTAGACTTGCCAGCTGGGAAGAACGTGATATTTCAGTATCTTACGTTCACTAAATCTCTCTCTCTCTCTCTCTCTCACAAACACATGTTGAATAAATCAGAGAACCGACTCCTCTGCTGCACCACAGATTGTTGTTAGTCTGATTTGGATAAAGGTTAGTATTCCTACTTATCTTTCTATCTATTGCATTAAACGTTTAACGTGCCTCTGAATATACCTTAAGTATATGTGCAAATAAAATTTGTCATAAAATTTTTTCATCTCTGTGATGTAGATTTTGAAACAATTTTCTCAAAATTGGTACTTTCTCACTTTCCAGATTGGTAGAAAGTGAAATCTTAGTCTCCTATGTTTTAAAACCAACTATAAGTTCAATCTTCTTTATTTATAACACTGGATTCAAAAGCTTGATTCAATTATCATTTTTCCTACTGTAAAGAAAATGATTTTTTTTTTTTTGACATATATTATTATCCAGAAAAAAAAAAAAAAAAAAAAAAAAAAAGAAAAATGGAATGTAATGAAATAAAAATTAATGAAGGTCATACGGGGCTTAAATCCCTTTATACAATAGTATGCCAGAAGTTATTCAGTAACATTATTTGGTGCATAATAGCAGATAGCCATAAATGAGCAAGACTTGAGTTTTTTCATTTTTTTTTTTTTTTTCGGGAAAAAATATATTTCAAAAAAAAAAAAAATATTTTTTTTTTTTTTGAAAAATTTTTTTTACCAAAAAAAAAAAAAAAATGGAATGTAATGAAATAAAAATTAATGAAGGTCATACGGGGCTTAAATCCCTTTATACAATAGTATGCCAGAAGTTATTCAGTAACATTATTTGGTGCATAATAGCAGATAGCCATAAATGAGCAAGACTTGAGTTTTTTCATTTTTTTTTTTTTTTTCGGGAAAAAATATATTTCAAAAAAAAAAAAAATATTTTTTTTTTTTTTGAAAAATTTTTTTTACCAAAAAAAAAAAAAAAATTTTTTTTTTTTTTTGACATAAATTATTACCAAAAAAAAAAAAAAAATTTTTTTTTTTTTTTTCTTTTTTTCAATCACTCAATTTTTCATAAAAATAATATTACACGTAAATCGAAAATATTTTTTTTTTCAAATACCAATTTTTCAAATAAAAAAAACACTCTTCCGCCCATTTTTATTTCCACAATATGGAGGAGGCCAAACGGGGCTTAATATAAAATTGGAATACAAAGTGCTTGTTGGAGTAACAGCGTCTCTAAATCCAGATAAACAAAGATTGGCCATTTTATCTCTCTAGTTCATTTTAAATAATGTTCAATAAAAAATATTACTTTCTCTCTCATGTTGAATGAATTACACAACCATTTCGAAGCTAGACTCCTCTGCCAAGGAAAATCAAAACCTGCTGCACCACTCAGTTGCCGTGAAAGTATTTCAAACAGATTGATAGTTTAATTTGGAAAAAGGTATCTCTACTTACCTTTCATCCTTCGAATAAACCTTCGGTTTATTATAGTTTTAGTTTTTGAAATTTTTTGTTTACTGTCAAAAATAAATTGGAAGCTTATTAGGATTAACCTGTGTTTTAAAAACCACCAAATCTACTCACGTTTCATTATTATTATTATTATTATTATTATTATTTTTGGTTCATCCATATGTTCGGATAAGCTTAATAGGAACTTTTTAGGATGAATGGTATTAAGTCCACGATGTGTATAATAATTGAGTAGTACATATGAACGTCCGTTAAAATTAAAGTTTGATCTTGCTCGAACAGAAATAAACTTACAAGAAACATATAAACTTAACCTAACATAGGAATACTGTTTACAAAATTGATGTATTCCTAGAGTGAAAATGTGCAAGATTGGATCATCATGCTTTCCATTATGATAATTATTATTAGATACTATGTGCAACGTTGAGATTTTGGAGGCTTCCAGTTTTATATGGAACAAATGTTTACTAAATGATAACATTCAAAGTACCTATTTGAAGTATTAGACCTATTCCACTTCTAGTTGGAACCAACCTTCTAAATACCAATTAATGCACAAGTAATGTATAATTTGAAAGTTGATAAAAGTTGTGAATTTTATGAAATGTAGAGTTAAAATTAAAATCTGATCAATGATAAAGTTGATAAGTTTTAGGAAAAAAAAATTTCCAAACAAGCCATCAATAATTTTGCCAAAACTTCAAGCCTACACTACCTATCTCACATTAGAGTTAATGTTTATCCATTCAAATGACAGAAGGACGGGCGTTAAATGGCTCCTTCAACCTCCAACCTGAAGCCATCGTTAATGTTAAAATAAATGACATATTAGGGAAAGTAAATTTGTTTTGAAAAAACAACTTGATTTCATTAAATTTGATATATTTTAAATTCATATTAACTTATTTTAATTAATTAGCCCCCATTTGGCCCCCATTAATTTTCATTATAATGGGGGAATAGTTTTTTAATTTTTTTTTAAAAAAAAAAAGATGGTTGTAAAAGAATGAAAAGTTCTCGATTTACGTATAATATTATTTTATTGAAAATTGTGTGGTTGAAAATAGGAGAGAGAAAATTTAAATTTAATTTGATGAAATTTAACGGGGGCCAAACGTGATCTTAATTTGTTCAAAATATCGTACATCTCTATCAACTTTTTCAAGGATTATATTCCTTTTTCAATAAAATTCTTATTTTCCTGGCCTTTTCTACTTTTGTGGGCCCGATCGGTCAATTTCCCATTTTTTAGTAAGACTGCATTTTTAAATAGTTAATTGATGAAGAATGTGTGGTTACGCAATAGGAAAAAGTTTTAGTTTTACGTGTAATATATATATATATATATATTTTTAAAGAATGTGTAGTTGAAAAGAAGGGAAAGAAAAAATGTATTTTAAGAAAAATAGTTATCAAACAAGGGCTATATTAAACTTTCATCCAGTCAAAACATATAGTCCCGTTTTATTAAGAAATTTTGTGATAAAATGATTAGGACATTAAATTCCACTGCAAAATCCCGCTCAGGGTTGTTTGACAAACTTTTGGGTTGTTTGGAACCTTTTTCATAAATATTTTTTTTAGCGAATTTTGATATAAAGTTTGTGTAATGTATAGTTTAAAAGATCATAAAAATTACGAATGCCATGGTTAAAACTTAAAAGTTGATAAATTTTGTCGAACAAGCCATCAATAATTTTGCTAAAACTTCAACCCTACAGTTATAGTTAATGTTTATCCATTCAAATGACAGAAGGACGGCGTTAAATGGCTCCTTCAACCTCCAACCTGAAGCAGCTTCTTGAATATCAATCCAAGTGCGAAAGGCTCGAGATGTTTGATGGCCAGGGACAACTCGTTCTAATTGTCGCTCACTTTATAATAAAATTGTGTTCTGAAGACGATGAAATAATTATTTTATTGAAGAGTCTTGATGATTCAGCGAAGCTTTGTTGGAGTTTCAGCCGTCATAGTGAAGAAGACAGAAAATTTTCCACCATATTCTGGGATTTTATAAAACAGCTTCAAGTGTTCTTCGAAGTCCCAAAGTTTAATAGTACTGCAAATATGAATGAGCAGATTGCAGCCTTTCATGACCTTCTCCTTGAAATTTTAGAAGAAATACTGCATCTTCAGCCATACTTCATTCATGGCTCGGTCATGGAATTCATTCTAGCTCTAAAGATGGAGCTAAAATTTCTTATCACCTTTCTTGGGGATACGCCATCTCAGCTCACTGAGCTTGAGACAACCAAGAATGTATTGAAAGATATTGAAGTTGTGGCCAATGAGGTGGGAAGCTTCTTATATTCATTCTTTCTCAGCAAAGATCCTATTTCTATAGCTGCAATGAATAACTCTCTTTCTGATTTGTTGAGAAATGTGGAGCGTGTGAAAGAAAGCATCAACAAGCATTGTGTCACGGTTGCCAATTTATGGCCAAGTCATATGACTCCATCGACTGCAACGGTTTCGCTCTCTTTTGTTGATTCTATCCTAGATTATATTGGCGATCTAGTGAATCGCAATGATGACAGGATTGTTGATGTGAAGATTCAAATTAGAACAATCCATCAGAACTTGATGAATTTGAAGAACGGCATAAAAGAACTTGAGATCGAAAGGCATCAGGAACGTGAAGAATTTTCTATGCAACTTATTAATGTAGCATATGAAGTTGAATACATTATCAACTCTTTTGCTCCTTTGTCGTATGTCACCCTCAGGCTTCTTCAAGTCACTGAGAAGATTAAACCTATGGGGATGCAACTCCAAGAACTGAAGAAGAATGATGCTAGAATGCTAAAGGATGCAGAATATGCATATCCAAGGCAACGTATATCATTCCAAGATCACATTAAAGACGAATATCTAGTTGGCTTAAAGGATGAGGAAATGGAAATAATGGACCGACTCTGCAGAAGAGAGAAAAGACTACAAATTATTTCCATTACTGGCATGCCTGGACTTGGCAAGACAACATTAGCAAATAGGTTATATAACAATCCAATGATTATTAATCATTTTCACAGGAGGATCTGGTGTGTTGTCTCTCGAACTTACCAGAGGAGAAATATTTTAATTGACATTTTGATGTCAATAGACACCGATAACAAAGAACAATTTCTGAATATGGAAGATGAAATGTTGACCGAACTGATCTTCCAATATTTAAAGGGGAAGAGATACATCATCATCATGGACGCTATATGGAATGTAAACGCATGGGATGATATAAAAAGATGCTTTCCTGATGACCGCATTGGAAGCAAAATATTGATCACCAGTCGAAACATGAATGTTGCCTCTTCAAATTATCGCTGCAACTTCTCTCTTCGTCTCCTGCGGGAGGATGAAAGTTGGAATTTATTGCTGGGGAAGGTGTTCAACAAAGAACGCTGCCCTCCAGAGTTGGTAGATGTCGTAAAGAAAATTGCAAGAAATTGTGGTGGATTACCAATTACAGTTGTTATGATAGCTTCGGTACTTAAGAATTTGGAGAAGAAAAGATCTTTATGGATGGAAGTTGCTGAAAATATAACTTCATACATCTGTAAAGAGACAAATGAGTACATGAGTGTGCTAGAAGAGAGTTATAATGATTTACCAATGCGATTGAAACCATGTTTTCTTTACTTTGGAATATTTGAGAAAGAAAGGGAAATCCCAGTAAAGAAATTGATAATGTTATGGCATGCTGAAGGATTTATAGGGAAAGTAGAAGATAAGAGCTCAGAGGATGTGGCACAGGAATACCTAATGGATCTAATTGATAGAAGCTTGTTACTAATTGCTAAAAGAAAATCTGACGGTGGAATCAAATCTTGCACTATCCTTGGTGCAATACATGACATGTGCTCGAGACTAGCTGAAAAAGATAACTTCGTGAAGGCGATCACAGAGTAAGCACTTTATCTCTCTCTCTCTCACCCCCCCCCCCTCCCCCCAAATTTTTCTCTAGCTTTTTGTCAATGTTTTATTTTCCCTGCTAATGCTCCTGACGAACGTGGTGATCATGTCAAACATTGCTGCTGTTGCTGATGTGGTACATTGTGGTTCTTCAGTCGATTATCAATACATGAGCAACACCTCCGCCTAAGCATTCACTCTCACTCAATTCCTTCTTTCTTGAGACCTTTCGGCCTACATATTCGCTCTTTGTTGGGGCATTTACCCGGTCCATCTGCATTCATCTTTTCCAGCTTGAAACATCTTAAGGTATTGGACTTGTCAAGCACAGATTTGAGTTTGTATAATTTGTCAGGAAGTGAAGTGTTGGCTTTCTTAAGGTTCTTGGCTGTTTCATCTGTTCCATCATCAATAGAGATATTCAAGAACCTAGAATTTCTTTTCGTGGATAACAAAGAAGTAGTTGAAATACCAGTTATCCTTTTAAATATGGTGAAGTTGAGACGTGTGCATTTCAGTGGTGGTGCACAATTTAGTGAATCTTGGCGCCAAGCAACTCATGATGAGAGCTTCCAAATAAGTAACCTACAAAATCTTTCTTCTATTTTCATTTATGATGAAAATGATGAGAAAATCTTGAGATCTTTTCCCCATCTTCGCATACTGAAATGCAAGTATACAACGTTTTGGGATTCAACTGTGAACTGCTATCGCTATCCTGCCTTAAACAACCTTTATCAGCTTGAATCCCTTAATATATCATTCCGACCGAGTTATGAGTCAGACGACATTAGTCCCGAATTGATCAATTTACCCTCAAATCTTAAAAAGCTAACTCTCCGTAACTTTGATTTATCTCGGATGCATATGAAGATAATTGGGGAGTTACCCTACCTTGAGGTTCTCAAGTTACGAGATAATACAATTGGGGGAAAAGGGTGGGACACAAACGAAGGTGAATTCAGACGACTCAAATACTTGGAACTGGATGCGGTACAGATCGAACATTGGAATGTCTCAGATGATGATTTCCTCATACTCGAAAGACTAGTGTTGCGAAGCTGCCAGCTTTTGAAGGAGATCCCTTTCAGTTTGGGGGTCATTCCAACTCTAGAGAAGATTGAGGTCCATGGCTGTGCAGAGTCCGTTGAAGCCTCTGCTCTGCAAATTCGGGAAGAAGTATTAGACTACGGGATTGAGTTTGTAGTCACTATCTCCCGCTTCTAGCTCTTATGGTAAGGTTGGTAAGAACAACATCAGGTTTTGCAGCTACATCTACCAGATCATTTTTAATTTACTTGTTGATTTTGAATACTTCTCTTTTTTTCTTGCAGTGCGGTTGAGTTGATGTTGAAATTTATTTGTTGTGGGTAAAATTAAATAACCAAATTTGTGGAAGGTTAAATAATTGGTGAATTACATTGTACTCTTTTTTTGGCTTCAAATGAAATCGGAGACTTGTTCTGTGTGAGAACCTGAATCTGTTTGTTTATTATGCGCTTGAGTTTATTTCAGTCCAGAAATGCCTTAACAGGGAAAATTGCAACGTTAGTCTCCATCAAAAGGATCCTCATTCTATTCTTTTGGAATTAAAATCCTCACGTTTAATTTTTTGTTGCAACGTGGTCATTGTCCCATTATTTTCTTGATCCTTTTTTTTTTTTTTTATCGTATTCTTATTATTAATCGTCAATTTAATTAGCATATATTGCCTCCTATTACAATTCTTTACAAAAAAATGCATTAAGAGTGGCTTTTTTCCTTTTCATAAATACAAAATTTGGACAAAATATTTTTCCTTCATTTTAAATCATGCTAACAAATATTCTCACACACAAGCAAACGATGAATTCTGTTCTACGAATGATAAGAGTTCAAATAGAATACCCAATACACACCAAAACATTAGAATTATATTGCACGGAGTCCAATTCCAGTAATCCACGCATTAGTTTTTAAAATTAAAATCTGTTTAGATTTAGATAAACAACGCATTCAATAGGTCAAACTAAGTTTTTATCGACTAAGTCTTCATCTTAAAAATGTTACAACATCACAACAAGGCAATGAAGTTTTTATCTCATATGACGTATTTTAGATGCATCAATTGCCTTAGGGACTGTTTGGGAAAAAAATATTTTATGATTTTTTATTTAGATAAAATCTCAATTATAGAATTAGGGAGAGGAGGAGAACACCGCCTTCTCTGCCTAGATATATGGATATATGCATTGATATGTGTGGAAAAGAGAGTGATAGATAAAGAGACAAGGTAGTGATAGAGAGAATCTACCAATATAAAATTAGAGTGAGTTAAGAGAGTGAGAATTTAGGGAAAGAGTAGTGTAAGCAGAGAGTAAAAGTGAAAAAGAGTAATTATTGTGAGTGATCCATATTTTATAAGAGAAGTTAGCGTTCTTAGTATGTGTTCAAAATTGTGTAAAATCCATTTCATCAATAAAATTCTATTTTCTTAGTGAGTTCAAATTTAAGAATGTGGTATCAGAGCTCAACACGGCCTATGTTTTAAAAACAAAAACATTCACTTCATTAATTTTCTTTGTTCATGCATATGTTCGATTAGCTTATTAGGAACTTTTCAGGATGAACTGTATTGATTTCACAATGTGAATAATAATGAGTAGTATTTATGAATGCCTTATTATTAAAATTAAAGTTTGACTTGAACTTAAAAGAAAAATAAATTGATGAGTAATTACTCAATCTAGCATAACACGGGAACAATGTTCACAAAATTGTTGTGTTCCTATAGTAAATGAAATGCACAAGGCTGGATCATCACGCTATCCATTATGTTCATTTCCAAACGAGTTGAACAGGAGAAATAGATTTATGATACGAGTTCTTCTACATGTACCGACCCCTTCACAAGAGGGGGGGGGCACGATTTTTTTATTCGGCGTGGGCCCCCCCTCTTGAGAGGGGGTCGGTACACCAGGGTGTCAAACTTGGTGTACAACTAGAAAAATCCTTATGATACATCTAATGAATTACATGTCGGATTTCACGTTAAACTCAATAATAGAGTGACAGTACTTAAACCAAGTGTTAACTCCAGTGACTGATTTGAGGGAATAATAATAATAATAATAATAATAATAATCTACAAGAACCTACTTGAAATTTGTCCTAAACTTTAGTTGACCAAATATAAAATTACCTTTGGCGGCATTGTAGCCTTATTTTATAATTAAATTCCATTGCAAAATCCTGCACAGGGTTGTTTGACAAACCTTTGGGTTGTTCGGAACCTTTTTGATAAAAAATTTTTAGCAAATTTCGATAAAAAGTTTATGTAATGTCGATAAAAAGTTTATGTAATGTATTGTTTAAAAGTTGATAACTTGTGAGTAATAAAAAAGTTGATAAATTTTGTCAAACAATCCATCAATAATTTTGCTAAAACTTCAACCCAACACTACCTATCTCACATTAGAGTTAATGATATCCATTCACACGACAGAAGAACAGCATCAAGTGGCTCCTTCAACCTCCATCCTGAAACATCTTCTTGAATATCAATCCAAGTGCGAAAGGCTCGAGAGGTTTGATGGCCAGGGACAACTCGTTCTAATTGTCACTCACTTTATAATAAAATTGAGTTCTGAAGACGATGAAATAATTATTTTATTGAAGAGTCTTGAAGATTCAGCAAAGCTTTGTTGGAGTTTCGGCCGTCGTAGTGAAGAAGACAGAAAATTTTCCACCATGTTCTGGGACTTCATTACACAACTTAAAGTGTTCTTCGAAGTCCCAAAATTTAATAGTACTACAAATCCCAATGAGCTTGTTGCGGCCTTTATTGACCTTCTTCTTGAAATTTTGAAAGAAATACTGCACCTTCAGCCATACTTCGTTCATGGAGCGGTCATGGAATTCATTCTAGCTGTAAAGGAGCTGAAATTTCTTATCATCTTTCTTGAGGATACGCCATCTCAGCTCACTGAGCTTGAGACAACCAAGAGTGTATTGAGCGATATTGAAGTTGTGGTCAATGGATGGGAAGATTCTTAAATTCATTCTTTTTCAGCAAAGAACGTATTTCTATAGCTGCAATGAATAAATCTCTTCCTGATTTGTTGGGAAATGTAGAGATTGTGAAAGAAAGCATCAAGAAGCATCGTGTCTGACATGGCTCATCCCAAATCACCTTAATGAACTCGACACATATCGTGCACCGATGATAGATACCAGCTAAATGCCGGACCCACCACCAACGCAACTTTGACTTGCTTGACTAAAAAAATATTTTTTGAAGAATTTTGACAGAATTTTCTTTGAAATATGGACAAAACCACCCGAGTAAAAATTAATTTTCTCAAATCTATGCATATAATATAAAACAAGGTACACCAACCCTTTGAAATACCAACTATTCAAAATAAGTGCATTTGAAAGAAATTATATTCCTTTACATTCAGACAACTCCATTTGTAAAACATATATAAAAAAATATGCAGTGAGCTCGTGATATAAATACATTTTTCTGATAAATGATGCATCAATCCCGAAAATATGTGATGTATTAACAGACAAGATGCGACATACAAGAAATGATACTGTGTGGCTCAACTCGCAGATCAACAAGCTCCAATATGGCTCAACGCAGCTACTATCTGCTAAGAAAAAGGGTGACAAAATATGAGCTTATAATTCAGAGAGTGGATATTTTGTAAAAGTATACTTTTCCCTTTATAACAACTTTTTGAAAACTGGTGTCAACTTCCAAATTTCCTTTCACAGTACTATAAACAAAAATCTTTATTCTTTAAACCGAATAAGATAAATACTGTAATTTGAAATCTGATAATAATATCAAAACTAAAATATACTGGAATCAAACAAATCTTTATTCTGTAAACTACATAAGCTAAATTTCGTTCCTAAAATCTAAATAACTGTATAATGCTAAAAAGCTATATTCTTCAGACTGAATAAACTAAATTATGTAGTCTGTAATCTGATAAGCTATATAATACTAGAAAATCACACCAAAAAGGTACCCGAAATAACTATACTCATGTATCAGTTAGCACCGATAGACATGTCAAAGCTATTTAATTCTGTAATTCTGAAATTCTAGTCATACGCGTTCAGAGCTATCTGGTCATACACTATGGAAACACATTTGCAATAGTGCAAAGGGGGTAAAATCATTATAACTGGTCATACACTGTGGAAACACATTCACACCAGTGCAGAGCGGGTAAAATAACCATATAAAGTCATACACTGTGGAAACACATTTACACAAGTCAGACTAGGATAAAGTCACCTGGTTACTTTCGATGGTTTTAAAATAACTGAAATATTTAATACTCATATAACATGCTAATCAAATCATTTAAGTGAAATTGAACTATATTTAGCTTTAAAAAAAAACTGTTTATAAATCGATCTCATTCTGGAAATCATGCTATCAAATCAATTGCATGAAATAATAAATCTTCTGATTTAATATAAATTTATTAAATACTAATTTTTGAAAATAAGTTTATGTCCACTCACTGCTCTACGGATAAAAGTCAGGTTAAATTGACTGGTATCTCCAACTTCCATATCACTACCCAAAATACCAGTATAATAACTCAAATTAAAATATGACAATTAATCTAATGCAAAGTCACCACTTAATTCCTCAACTTTCACATTTTCTCTTGAATCTTCCCCAAATTTTCTTTAATCAATTGAAGTTAATCTCACTTTCTAGTTCCTCTACTAATAACCAATTCATCGAAAAATCTTCATTCCAAACATAAAATAATTTTACTTTACAATCTAGTAAAAACTGACACAAAGAACACAACCAACTTATCTTTAATCTAGCTTCCTAAAATCATGATTTCACTTGAATATTTCATCAACTCAATTATTCCATTAGCAATACTTAATAAAAAATTCCAAAGAAATAGTTCTAGGGTTCGTTCAAAAATCATGTTACTTACCTTAATGTAAATATCAATCACTACTCACAAAGATTGGCTTCAAATCATGCTCTTTCCTTCAATCTAAAATTTAAATCAACAACTTAGAACCCTAGAATATTTAACATCATAATACAATAAACATATACTTTCTAACTCTTTAAGAAATGAAATAGTACTTGAAGAAATCAACACTTACTTCCTCTTCTTCCTTTTCTTCCTTTCCTTTCTTTCTTTTCTTTTTCTCTCTCTTTTCTCCTTTTCTTTCTCAATTCTTCCAGCTCTCTCTGCCACCCCCGCCCCCCCTCTCCGTTTTTTTTTTTTTTTTTTTAATATGTATTGTATGTGTGTGTAAAAGAAATGGGCAATTGAGTTTTAAATGGGCCACTAAATCAATTTGCAAAGGAAGTCCCACTACTTCAATTAATCATAACATTTGATCCCTTAACTTTTAATAATATTTAAATAGCTTCCCAAAATAATAATTATTATTATTTTTCCATCTTAGACCCTCAAAATATTTTCAATTTGTAAAATAAACCCAATAAAATAATTCACTTCATTAAAGTTTAGGGGATATTCCAACTCTAGAGAAGATTGAGGTAAAATCTCTTTGATTCTCTGCTATGCAAATTATGGAAGAACATCTAGACATGGGAAATGACATGCTCAATGTCAGTATCGCCGACTAGTTCCTGTGGTAAGGTTCGCAAGTACAGCATCAGTTTGTACTGAAGTTTAGGGGATATTCCAACTCTAGAGAAGATTGAGGTAAAATCTCTTTGATTCTCTGCTATGCAAATTATGGAAGAACATCTAGACATGGGAAATGACATGCTCAATGTCAGTATCGCCGACTAGTTCCTGTGGTAAGGTTCGCAAGTACAGCATCAGTTTGTACTGCAATATCTAAGTGTTCATTTTTAATTTACTTGTTGATTTTGAGCATTTTTTTTTCTTGCAGAGGTTTGGGCAGTTGAAAATGTGTGAATAAAATTAAATAACCAAATTTGCGAAAGGCTGACTGATGAATTACATTACACTCTATTTTTGGCTTCAAATGATATTAGAGGCTGATTCTGTGTGAGGACTTGAATTTGTTTACTATGCGCATAAGTTTATAACAGTCCAAAAATACGAGTCTTATGAAATGGAAAATTAAAATTGCAACGTTAGTCTCAGCCTATCCCATTAGTAGCAAACAGGTCCTCCTTTGATTTGATTTTTTTTTTATTTTGCATTTAAATCCTCATATTTTATTTGTATTGCAATGAGATCCTTACTGAACAAATATTGTTTTTGGATAATTATATTCCAACTTATTTTTTCATCATATTTAAAAATAATAATAATAATAAAAAGTGCGAAAAATATATTTCCTTCATTTTAACGCATGAAAATAAAATATTTTGATATAAATCATAATGAAGGACGAGACGTACTAATTAATGGAAGGTTGAAGATAAGAATTTGACAGAAAAAGTTAAGGAAATAATTATTACAATGAGCAAAGATTGAGAAACTTAACTGCAATTAAAATGTGGTTTATCAAATAAAAATTGTGGTAACAATGTAACAGCTCTTCAAAAAAATACATTAGGAGTGGATAAAAGACTTGTTTGCCCTTCTTATTTGTGATATGACTTGCATAAATTTCCCTATTTGGACTCAATTAAGAATATTTCAACCTACTCATTGATTTTAATCATAAAATTAATGAAGTTGGAGATTTGCATGCTAATTCCATCTTTTAATACTACTAATTCATTTGGCCCGTCATGATTGAGTGCTCGATTTCTATATGCTATTATTCTTTAGTTGCTAATTTATCAGGGTTGAATGATGAACAGATCTCCCGTAAGTACATATTATTGGTGCTTCAATTAACCTCTTTTTTTTTTTCCTTTTTTTTTTTTTTTTAAATGTAGCATAAGAAAGACATCTTCGGCAAGCATGTCATCGTTATCATACAAGTCATACAGAAAAGATTTCTCCACTTCATCTAGAGTTGCCAACAATAAGCAATTTGTAGTATAAATTATAGGCCCGCATGGTTGCCTAAATGTGTATATAGTGTTCGCACACTTTGCTGCCCACAGTAGAACCACAAGTAGAAACATACTAACATTTTATAAATTAATTTGGTTATTTAGGCACTCAACTTGTTAACCTACTATTTTAATATGTCTTCAACTGACGTGATTCTAAGTGCTATGGATAGAAGACTTATATGGCTGTCGAACCACCTTGGTCTCATTCAAAACTTGAAGAATACATCATGTGTTGTTCATTTGAAAATTAGCTAATGACTTCTAACATACTTTACCTACATGTTCATATCCACTTCGATTTATGCAACTTCAATTAACCTCAAAGCATAACCGTAATTTTATTCACATGATATCCAAACACAAATTCTAACATTTCATAATGAAAAGTAAAACACTTAGAAATTGTTTTAAATATATTTCAATCTTCTTTGTTGACTCAACTTCTTTCGTAAATTTAAACCATGTCTTAAACAAGAAAATTTTACGTTAGAACCTTAAAATTTTTGTTTGACTTGATTCCTCTCCTCCTGCTTGTAACACCATCATACCAAGCAATTATCGATATCCTCGAACCCCTTTAACGTGTCGAGTGAAGAGTACGGAGGGAATGTGCAAGTACATGAATACTCAATAGGGATATCTCACTAGTGCACTCAGCAGGCTATACATGAGTTGCATAAACAAAAATACAATTCATACAACATATGAGTTATTGGAAAAGTTAATTGATTCTGAAGAATTCTTGAAGTATGAAGAACCCATTTGCTTGTAGATACCTATTAGGACCGTCAATTAAGCTTTCAGTTCATATGTTGTATGAAAAATAGCATATTCATATAGAATTACACATATGAATGAGCAAAAACAACGGCACACAATTTTCTTTTCTTTCATCATTTGAAATTGAACACCAACAACCAGAAAACTTTCATAGAGAAGAGGTGCATTTTTTAAGAGATGAAAGGGAGTACAGTGTCCATTTTCTTGCAACCTCTATCTCGATTTTCAACAAAAAATAAATAAATATAGTTATTATGACGATTAACTGAAAAATCACATTTACTTCTCTACTTAAATTTTCTCTATAATTCAATCCTCTGTTGGTACATTATATCCATCTCCATTGTGAATTTCCAATAAATCGTTTTGAAAACTTTATTGATAAAACATAAATAAATTTGAACTCAATTTAATTTAGGGTAATTAGTACAAAACGTCCATACCTTTCGATGTTTTTGTGGAAAACATCCCTACTTTTCATTTTTTGGCGGATTACACTCTCACCTTTATCTTTTTTTGCGCAAAACGCACTTCTGTCAACTTCCCGTTAAAATGCTCCGTTAAATCAAAAGGTAAGTAGCACAAAAGGTAACTTTCAATGTAAACCGTCTCCAGTAGGGGCTAAGTGTTCTATAAAGATGATAAACAATTTCATCCCTATGAAACTCGTGGCCATTATTTTTGGCTCCCTTGATGATCCTCTCTATGGTATCTAAATGTTCCAACAGATTGTGGTTGGGGTTCCTCACGTACGTCCTATGCAATTTGAGAAACATTTCACGTCTTCGGGCCTGGTCCCTAGCCAATCGTGACCGTCCATTGACCATCTAAGAAAGTAAACTTTATATTAATTTTCTTACGTAAATCGATGTACACTAAGCCAAATATCTTTATTTCTTGAACTATGATCTTTCTTAAATATGTATCCTCAAAGTGTAGGTTTCCAACCCAGTAATGTTCGTGTTGAGGCGTCCAAAAAAAAAAAAAAAAATAGAAGTTCGTTAATATTTTGTCTAAAATAGGAATTTCCAACTTTAGAAATTTTCTTGATTGGGTACTCTTCTATTTCTAAAGCTAGAAATTTCTTCAGTACTCACAACCCTACACTTTTCAAGTATGGAATGGAACTTTCTATAATTAAGTACCAATTCATAATTATGCACAATTTATTAAAATAACCATTCTGAATTAATTTATACATAATTTCATGCATATTCATTTGTGCGCACATAATCGTGTATTTGCATATAATTTTCATAAAAATTTGCATGTTAGGTAATCGTGATTTCATAAATAACATAATACAATTCAAACAATATTACCTATAAGTTCTACCTAATATGAGACACCGAAGATTTGAACATAGCTCGCATGATGGTGGCCTTAACATTCCTCAAAATTTATTTATTTATTTATTCTTTTAAAATTTCTGTGAACAGTAACTGCGAGTCACTGTTCATTGTATTTTAGAACAAAACATTATTTCTTTTTTTTCTTTTTTTCTTTTTTTTTATCTGCAGCACTGTGAATAGTGACTGCACTGCGCATCACTGTTCACCGTGAACAGTACTGACTGCGCAGCACTGTTCACTGTTGAGAAATTTTTTATTTTTTTTTTTGAACAAAACATTTTTTTTAAAAAAAAAAAAATCTGCATCACTGTTGAGCAGTTATTTTTTTAATTTTATTATTATCATTTTTTTTATATAGTCCACAGAATCATAAACCTCGCTCTGATACCATTTTGTAAAGAATGAAAATAATTCTCGAACATACAAATAAAATCCTTAAACAATCACTTTATTAATACATAAAAGTTTTTAAAGGAAAAGAAAATTTTGAAAGAACATATTGAATCTTAAAATCTTCACAACCAAAAAATGAATTTGTTCATCAATACATAAATAAATCTTAACATAACTTTATTAAAATGTTTTATTATCCACCATTGCGTGCTCGCCCAATCTTCATCCATCTCAAACACAGTTAATTATTACCTAAAAAAAATCATGATTCATATGAGATGATGATCTCAATAAGTGAAATAACATGATATGAATGATAGAAGTCCATGAGATTCGTGAACATACTTGATGAGATACGAAATTAACAAAATCGAACTTCGTGGTTCTAATTTCGTGCGTAGCGCTACTAAACTCCATGATTTCATAACATAATTCATAATATCGACTTCTATAATTTTAAACATGAAAATATATGTATTTCACTTACCTCGAATTTTATGATCGTATTAGCACGTAGAAGAGTTCTTGAAAAATATTTGTGTGCGCGTGTGTGTGTTTTTCTTTTGGGGAAAAATATATATATAGAAGATTTCCTTAATTAATCATTTTAATTACAGTAATTAACATATACATACATATTATATATGTTAATTACCTTTTTG